ACTTTTAGAGTACCCCCCCCCCTTTCCTGACAGCAGTACGGGGAGACGTTTCCCATACTAGCTGCCAGTTTTTAAAATCAGAGCGTGGCTCCGGCCACGTCATTCATTCAGAGAGTTCTGTGAATGAACTACAAGTACCGATATCCTTTGAGAGTGACAGAGGACACAGATTAAACTGACAGTCTGCCAGAGACCTGCATGGCAGATCTGCTGATCGCTGGTGCAATGCTTTACAGGTTGCAAAAAAATAATAAATACACATTTTTTACCTGAAAAAAAAAGTGTATTTATTTTAACCACTTGCCCTCCTGAGGATTTACCCCCCTTAATGACCAGGCCTCTTTTTGCTACTCGACGCTGCACTAATTCAACTGATAATTGCGCGGTCATGCAATGCTGCACCCAAGCAAAATTTCCATCCTTTTTTTCACACAAATACAGCTTTCTTTTGGTGGTATTTGATCACCTGCGCGCTTTTTTTTTTTCACGCTATAAACAAAAAAAGACCAAAAATTTTGAGGAAAAAAAACGATATTTTTTACTTTCAGCTATAAAAAATATATAGTAAACTCAAAGTTGGTTATAAATTTAAGCCAAAATGTATTCTGCTACATGTTTTTGGTAAAAAAAGAATCCCAATAAGTGTATATTGATTGCTTTGTGTAAAAGTTATAGCGTCTACAAACTATGGTATAGATACTGCAATTTACGCCATTTTCTTGCTATACAGCACTGCGCTAGTTTACCGGACAATTGCGCAGTCGTGCAATGAAATTTATGTCCTTTTTTTCACACAAATAGAGCTTTCTTTCGGTGGTATTTGATCGCCTGTGCATTTTTTTATATTTTTTTTTTGCTATAAAAAAAAAGGCTGACAATTTTGAGAAGAAAAAAAAAAACAATATTTTGGACTTTTTGCTATAAAACATGTCCAGTAAAACAAATGTAAAAATCAAATTTCGGCATAAATTTCGGCCAAAATGCATTCTGCGACATGTCTTTGCTAAAAAAAAAAAACCCAATACATGTAAGTTTATTGGTTTACGTGAACGTTATAGCATTTACAAATGGCGGGAAAGATACTCGGATTTTTAATTTTTTTTTATACTAATAATGGTGGCGATCAGTGACTTATGGCGGCGATCAGCGACTTATGGGCGATCAGCGACTTATGGCAGGACTGCGGCAGACATTCTGACACTGGGGGGGAACTGACTTGGGGTCACTGACATCCCCAGTGACACCAATACAGTGATCAGTGCAAAAAAAAAAACACTGACACTGTACTAATGGCACTGGGGAGGAAGGGGTTAACTTTTTTATTCACTGAAAGGGTTAACTGTGTGAGGGGAGTGTTTTACTAGGGGCGGGGGTGTGTACTGCGCGGGGACATGCTGATCGGGAGAGATGAACTCTCCCGATCAGCGTGTCAGGAGCTGTCAGGGAACTGACAGAAAGCAGAGCTAATGCAGCCCTGCTCTCTGTCAGTGATTGCCATCGGCGGGACACAGCCGGTAATGACCAGCCGTGACCCGGCAATTGACACCCACGGCCGGGATCAGCGGCGTGCCCCGTGCGCACCCCCTACCTGTTTTGCAAAAACACGTTTTAAAACGTGCTTTTGCCCAGCTGTGCTTCCCTGCCGCTGTTTTCTACAGTGGCTGGGCGCAAGTGGTTAAGTGATCTTATCCTTTAGACCTGCCTACAGTGTTCTACACATACATGTTTCATGTGTTCTCTAGGTGTGCCCTTCACCTGCTTAAGTGTTTGTGAGGTCTATTAATGCTTTACAGATCTCTGCAGCTCCGGCATTCCTTCTGTCAAGCACTCGATCTTTTCTTCCACTTCCCTGCAGTAATATTTGCTCATGAAAGATATAAATGCAAAGACCCCAATAGTGTAATATGTAAGACTGTATTTGCAGCACATAAAGGGTTACACTCGCTTGACAGAAAACATTTGTCGGCAAATGGCTTCTCACATCTCCCTCTGCTTCCCATCCCACTCCTGGAGCAAATCAAAGTTGCGCGGATTGCTGCTCAGCCATTTACTGGAAGATTTGTATTTTATGAATCCATACAAAGCTTATGAAAGGACAACACCCCAACTCAACTGCTTCATTCAGGATTCAATAGCTGAAGACCGGTGATGTGGCTGGGATGTTCCGTCCCCAATGTGCTTAATCCATATTAGGAAAAATCTGCCACTCGGTGTACTCTCCGGTGTAAATCTTATATTGGCTACATATTAAAGAACACCGTGTGTATACAGCTAACACGTTTCAGCTATATGCTACGAGAAGGGCTGCTGTAGCCGAAATGCGTTCGCTGTATACACACCGCGTTCTTTAGCCAATAAAAGATTTGCACCGAAGAGTACACCATGTGGACAACTTTTTCTTATTATTATTACTATTATACAGGATTTATATAGGCCAACAGTTTGCTCAGCGCTGTACATTATAGTGGGAGACAGTACACGAGACAGTACAGTAACAATACGATTCAATACACGAGGGGTTCGAGGGCCCTGCTCCTTGGAGCTTACCATCTAGGAGGGAGGGGAGAGTGGTACAGGAAGAAATAGCTGTGGGGGATGGAGTGGTAGGAAGAGTGGAGGAGTTCAGTAATT